GAGAGCCTGTAAACCAGGGAGCCTCACAGTTCCCTGCATTCTCTCTCCTCCTGTTTTGGTTTCTGCTCCAATCACCTGCCGTTCTGCTGGAGGCTTTCTTGGTTACTTCTCCCAGATAAAACACACAGGGCAAATGCCCTCTGAACTCTTCTTTGTGGCCCTGGGGATGGAATCGGGGTCTTGCCAGGCTAGGCAAGTGCTCTACCACTGAGCTCCAGCTCCAGCCCCTCTGAATTCTTGCTCATTTGCAAGATACATTTCTTGACACTATGCTCTGGTGAAGACTTCTGGGTGCAGGCAGTAAGGGTTCCCTTCACCTCAGGCCTTCAGTGCTGTAGGTGAGAGATCTGTTGCCAGTGTGTTTCTTTGTCACAAACTATTTACCTCTGCAATCATTTTTTAAAATGTTTTTTTTAGTTACCAATGGACTTTTATTTTATTTATTTATTTGTGGTGCTGAGAATCAAACCCAAGGCCTCATGTGCTAGCCAAATACTCTACCACTGAGCCCACCTCTGCAATCTTCTCTGCATATCAGGGGAATGTCAGCAGGGGATGCCAAGGCTGAGTCTCCTTTAGAACCCGTCTGGAACTCCACCCACCCTTTCACTATAGATTTTCCCCACGCAGGGAAAATCTCCACTATTATTTATCTATCATGTCCATCATTTCCAGACCTGCTCCTTTCCTCCTTCTGGAGCCCCCAACTCTTCCCGCCTGACTTTCATCTGTTTCTGGTCCTTCGGGCATCCTTTTTTCTTCTGTGAGATCTGCCCCCCCCCCCCCCCCCCAGTACTGAGGATGGAATCCAGGCCCTCATCCAGGTTAGGCAAAGGCTCTAGCGCTGGGCCACATCCCCAGCCCCCTGCTTTTTTTTTTTTTTTCATTTTTTATTTTAAGACAGGATCATGCTAAGTTGCCCAGGCTGGCCTTGAACTTGCAATCCTTCTGCCTCTGCCTCCCAAATAGTTGAGATGACGGTGAGGGCCCCACCCCAGCTAGAGCCACTCTCTTTTTCACTTCATGCTCTGAATCTCTGTTTTGGGGGGATTGCTTTTTTACTGTATTTACTTATTTGTTTTTTGGATGCTGATCTATCCCAGGTCTGCACACATGCTAAGCAAGTTCTCTATCACTGAGCTACAATCCCAGCCCCTGCTGTGAATTTGCAGAATTTATAAATCCTAGTACTAGAAGCTGTTCACGTGGGCTGTACCTGGAAACCTAGTCTCCTGTAGGTGCCACTTGACCTTCCTGTCCCTCTAGCTGGACCCAGCAGTGGGGTTCATTTCCTGTGGGTAGCTGGTCATGCCTCTGACCCCAGACTTACCCAGATGCCAGCAACAGCCTTAGTCACCTCTGGGATGGGGTGAAGAGGGCAGGTTGCTACCTCTGATGAGAGGCCCTAGCTCTAAGCACTAGCACCCCATTCCTACTTTCTCCTCTTACCTGCCTGCATGTCCTTAGTTGTGAGGGCTGGACCTCTCACCAGAACCTCCCCCAATGGGAAGAGCGTGGAAGGTGGGGTCTGTCTCCAACAGGGTCTCAGGTCTTACCCTTTTCACCTCACAGTCCCCTTGAGAGCCAGGAAGCCCTGCCTCACCACTTCCCTTGACAGCCCCCCAGAAAAAGTGAACCCAGTCTCCCAATTCCAAAGCCTTGGCCCACTGCCTTACATGAAAAGCTGGCTTAGCTAGAGGTGGGGGTGGTCCACGCCTGTAATCCCAGCATCTTGGAGGCTGAGGCAGGAGGATTACAAGTTCAAAGCCAGCCTCAGCAACTCAGTGAGTCCCCCCCAAGCAACTTAGAGAAACCCTGTCTCAAAAGTTTAAAAGAAGGGCTGGGATTGTGGCTCACTGGTAGAGCACCTGCCCAGCAGATGTGAGAGGCAATGGGTTCCATTCTCAGCACCATATATAAGTAAATGAATGAAATAAAGGTCCATCAACAACTAAAAAATATACTTTTAAAAAAGTTTAAAATAAATAAATCCAAAAAACGGTGGGATGGCTGAGAATGTAGTTCAGTGTTGAAGCGCCCCTGGGTTTAATCCCATGTATCCCCCCAACAGCAAAAAAAAAAAAAAAAAGCTGTCTCTCAGGAACAACTCCCACTCCATGTTCCTCCAGGGGAGGAGAGAGACCCCTGTCCCTCTGGCACCTGGTGGTGGGATGAGGCATCAGAATGACAGATCAGTGCTCCTCGTGTAATTGAGTACTTCTCTGTGCCTCCTCCTGCCCATGCCCCATCCCTACTGCCCATCTGGGGCAGATCCCCTCTCTGGGGAAGGGAGACAGTCTCACCCTTGCACTATGCAGGGCCCTAGGAACCTGCCAATCAAAGTGCCTACTCTGCCTCCCCTGGCCCATCCCTAGGCCAATCAGCTCACACATTCATCTCAAGTGGGTCTGTTGAAGGGGACACACCATCCTCCTTCATGAGTATGTGCATCAGGGCCCACAGAGGGAAGCACTGCCATCTCCTACTCTTGACCTCCATGATGGGAGGGACTCAAACTAGAAAGGACCAGCCAGGGACCTTGGGGACCAGATCCCAAGGTGTTTGTGCTGCCTGATCCCTGTTCCTATGCAGCCTAGGGTGCCAGAAGCCCAAAAGGCAAGCCTGAGGTCGGGTCACTTTCCAGTGGGTCATCCCCCAGTGGCCCAGCCCCACTGGAGAAGCACTGTGATTTTCTCTAGTCTCTCCACCTTTCTGGGCCTAGATTTCTCCTCTGTTGGATGAGACCAAGAGAGAGGTTCTCTACCAACTTCCATCCTCAGTCACCTGAAAAGTTCAGGCCTATGCCTGCACAGTTGCCATGTAAGTGAGCACAATGCACCCAGGGCTTGCACTGCAGACCAGGGCCTGGGGGGTGGTCTACACCACAGCCAGGGTGCTGCACCCTAACCTTGCCCCCAACCCTAGGACAGGATCTGCTGGTGCCCTGAGGCAGAGCACATGTACACAACCTCCCCCTGGTAGGTTCAGTGAGAATGGGCAGAAGTGCATTCCAGGCAGGGTACCTGCCTGAGCAAGAGTCCAAGGGATGACCCAACACATGTGTCGGGTTGGTTAGGGTCTCTAAGCAGGCTTGGCCTTAGGAGTGTTCTTTTCCCAAACTTAGGGACTCCCAGGACACCTCCATTGAAGGACTGCAACTACAGAAGGAACCCCACCCCTGTAGGGAAAGAATCCACCCTCCCCAGGAGAAGGGAGTGGGTCCTGGCCAGCAGAAGTGTATCCCTGCCCCCTCCCACTTCGCAGCATCTGTTGAAAGTGGGTAGAGGGTGCAGAGGAGGGTCTTGGGAGCTGTTGGGACAGGGTTGGGTATCTGGAAGCAGGATCCCTAGAGGCCACTTCCCCTACCCTTCTACCCACACCCAGGACTTGGAAGAAATCTCCCACCAAATTGCAGGAAACTCTGGGCTGCTTCTTCCTCCAGCAGCTTCCATAAGTCTAATTGGAAACAGACTGGGAAGTTCTTCAACCCCTTCGGCACACATCACTGCCCTGGACACGCACCTGTCCAACTAGCCTCCTCTGCCCAGGAGGAAGCTCCCTGAGCTAAATGCCCAAGGCACTGCCCAACAGCTGCTCCTCTTCCTAGGGGGCTCTCTGCTGGCTGGTAGCTGAGGGCTGTATTAAAGTCAAATGCAAGCAGATGAGCAGCGGGGAACGGGGAACAAGGGCAGGTGATTGAGGAGAAAAGCAGCCGACTTCAGATGCAAATGGACTGGGCAGGCCGTGAGATAACCAGCCAGATACTCTGCCTGACACGCTGGGTCCGCCACCTCCTGGGGGCTAAACCAGGCTCTCTGCTAATACTTGTTGAATAAACTGACCTTTAAGGGGAAAGCAGAGAAACTAAAGGCCACACAGGTAAGTGCAGTGCCCAACGCCCACGGTCGGAGAGTCCGGTCGCAGGCTGGGGAAGGAACCCTAGCGCCCACCCCTGCGTCACTGAGGGTGCCCGCACCAGCTTGCTCGCGCGGCGTGTCAAGCCCGCCGCCTCTGGCTCACGGAACCGCGTAGGTAGGGGCAGGCGAGCCAAAGCGTGCACCCAGGACTTGCACTGCAGACCTCGCTCCGGCCTCGCTCGACGCCCGCGTTCAGGCGAGTCCACTAAGGAGGGCCCCGCCCGGACAGCTGCGGGAAACCCGGTCGGGTCCGCTACCAACCGGACCGCCTGGGAAAGGACCCTGCACCGAGTGGGCGCGGGATAGAGCTGCGGGATGCTCCAGGGACCTATGGGGAGGGCGCAGGGGGCCGCGGCGCATCCTCCAGAGCCCCAGACCTCCACAGCATGCCTCCACGGACTGAAAAGACACCTGCCCCCGCGCGCCAGGCGCCCTCGGGGCCCAAGTAGACTAACGCCCACGAGACCGCAGAGGGCATTGTTATTCCGCGTTCCCGGCGGAAGACCTCAGCCGGAGGCAGGCGCCGGTCCGAGGGCTCACAGCTGGGCTGGCCCGCATCCCCGACGCCTCGCTCCGGCCCCTGAGCCCGACGCCTCCTTACCCCCAGCGCATCCAGCCAGGAAGTCGAGCGCCATGGCCGGGTACCGGCGAGGCCGTGCTTTCTCTTCTTCCTTCTCCTTCCCGGACCCCTCACCCGGCCGGCCGCCGTCGAGGGTCCCTGCGTGCTGTACTGGGCTCGGCCTGGCCTCCTGCTCGGCGCCGGGCGTCCGAGATCGGGGCGGAGGGGCAGCTCCAAATACGGCTCCCGCGCTGCGCTGCCGCTGGCCAGCTGGCTAGCCCTCACCGCGGTGCACCCGCCTGCCACCGGCGGCCGCTCACCTCGGACCGCGCCCCGCCCTCGGCCCGCCCGCTCCGCGGGGCGCACAGCGCAGCCAATGGGCGCGTGAGGTGCGGACAACGCCCCGGGCGCCGCGCGCTGCCGCCGATCCCCATTGGCTGGGCGCGGCCGGAGGGCGGGGCGGGGGAACGTGGCGGGCGTGGGGGTGGGACGCCGTAGTGCCGCAGACAAAGAGTGTGCTTCACGCGCCCGCCCGCGCCGCTCGGAGGGAGGAAGCGCGGTGAGTGCCGTGGCGACTGCCGGGGCCGATAACCTTCTGGGAGCCGGCCGCCAGCGGGATGCAAGGACCTCAGCTAGTGTGCCACGCGGGCCAGCTATGCAGGGGACAGGGCCTGGGAAACTTCGACCTGGGTTCGTTTCCGAGTCTGCCGCGGGACCTCAGCGTCCTCGCCTGTTTAATGGGACACTGCCGTGAAAACGGACATGCAACGCCGGGACCTTCCGAGGCCTGCAGGCCCGAGCACGACTAGTCGAGAAATTCCTTGGGCGGCGAAAGGGCGCCCTCGTAGCGCTCTCGCCTGTCCTGCCTGCGCGCCCACCTGGAGGTGGCCTCTGGGGCTTCCGGTCTCCGGAGAACACGCGGGAATGAGAGGGTCTGAGCGCGCCGCGCGCTTCCGGCAGGGCCGGGCGCTGTGCTGGGTGAGAGGAGACCGAACTTCAAAACCGGCGGGCAGAGGGGCGAGGGGCTCCGCCAAGCCCCGGGGCCCTCACCTTCCGGCGGGCCGGAGCAGCGCCAGGCTGCGAGGGAGGTGCCGGGACCCGCTGAGAACTTCCGGGCCCTGCGGGCCTGGTGGCGGGGACTCCAGCCACCGTGCAGAGGTGCGCAAGTCGGGCCCGGGCGACTCTGGGGAGGGGACCCCGAGCTGGACCCGTGGGCCTCGGAGCAGAGAGCGGGGCTGAGGGCAGGGAGTGTGCGGATGCCCCGGAGTTCGAGCCCGTGGTGGTCGCGGGTAGCTGTGCGGTAGGGTGGTGGGGAGAGCCCAGCGGACGTGGCCCACCAGTCTCCTGACGTTCGCAGTGGGCGGGGCCCCCTGGTCCTGGCAGCGTCCTGTTGGCAACTTCTCCCTGCCCTTCCCCAGGGCCTCAGGGCGGTTTAGACTGTCCTCCTGGATCCGGCCAGGCCTGAGACTTCTTCACTGTGGGGCCGACTTCCTCCTTTAGGGCCTCCGGCAAGACCCTGTGCCACGTTTCGCCGCCCTTTTCGTCCTGTGTTGCCAGGTTCTGCAGTACAGCCACTGATTGCAGTGAATGCGTGTCCCTGGAGGGACCTTACCTGGGGAGGATGCCAGCGTCTGTCACTGGTGAAACTTGGTGATACAGAAGCCAGGGGATTCCACTGCTCCTGTGTGTTTCAGTTTATCCTTAGGATCTAAATTTAACCATCATTAAGCAGAGACCCAAACCCCAGGGCTGCTGACTCCTAGTCCAGTGCTCGTGATGGCTGGTGGGCCCTGAACTAGGGGTCTGGAGGCCTAGGTTTGAATATCACCATCCTTCGACCCAGCCAGGTGGCTCATGGGATGCGTTGGGGAGACTGTGAAAGGTCGGAGCACAACAAGACACTGAGTCAGGAAAAAAATATTACATAAAAACTGATAAGACAAGGACAGTCTGTTTTGCTTTATTTTTTAAGAGAACATGTGTGCCTTTAAGTGGGTACTGTGCCTGGGGTGGTAGCACTGAGCTCTGCCTCCCTGGGGGTCTTGGGAAGGGGCCAAGCAGCAGCCTGGTACACAGTAGACAAACCATGGCTGAGCTCAGAAACCCTGCAGGGAGGCCTCATGGGAGCCCCCTGCAAGGATCCAGGTGAGGCCTGCAGGCCTCTAGCTGTGGCCCTGCCAGGACAGCAGGACAGTGGGGGTGGGCTGGTGGTGGGGAACAGCATTCTGCCTAGGGCCAGTCAGCAGGGGAGAGGTGGGGGTGGGAGGCACTTAAGGTGGGACCAGGATCTGACCTGCTTACCTCAGGTGCCCCAGGGCCTCTTGGTGGGCACTGGGTAGGGGACTGGGGGTAGGTACTGAGATGGGCTTTGTGAATCACCTCCCTAAAGAGTCCCTGTTGCCCGAGAATTCTTCATCCTGGCGTGGCTGTGCCTGGTGCTGGGGACACAACAGACGGCAGTCTTCCACCTCCTTGGCCTCCGTGTGGTTGGAGAGAGAGAGAGAGAGCAAGCAGAAGGCAACACCGAGTAACCGGATGGACATGTGCTGCCGCACAGAGCCTGCCTTTCACTCCCAGGACCAGAGGGAGGCTGGAAGCGGAACTGTCTCAGGGGATGAGTCAGGTCACTGATAAGGGTGGATTTTTATTTGGTAATTTATTTTATCATTTCTTACACAAGACAGTGGGGAAACAGCCATCAGCAGGCAGAAAGGAAAAACAAGTCCTCTGCTCTCCCGGCTCTGGAATCTATTGAATTAAATGAGAAGTGGGCTGTCAGTTGGCTCCCATCTCAGTGCCATGAGCCCCTGAGGCCCAGGGTGACCTGGCTACAGCCTCACTGCTTGTCTTTCATCCCCTAATTGCTCCACTCAGGTTTGCACTCCCACCTCAGGGCCTTTGTACTGGCTGCTCCTGTACCCGCTCCTGGGAAGCTCATTCCCCATCCCCCAACCTTGCATAGATCTATCTCCAGAACTTCCTTTGTCCCCTCAGAAGGAGCTTGGCTAACCCTCTGCTGTGATCTTCGTGTTCATGTGTTGAAATCCTACCCTCCAACATGATGGCATTAGGAAGAGAGCCTCTGCAGGCTTGACAGCTGACCCTTCTCCAGGGACATGTGGCTTGTGAGAGAAACACAAGGGGGATGGTTCCAGTTTTTCTAAGATGTATTTTAAGAATTAAAAACATCAGGAACAGAGTGCCCCCCTGCTGAACTGCGTTCCACCATGGTGGGGAGGGTACTGAGCAGGACGCCTGGGGGAGGCTTGTCCTGTGGCTTTGACTACAGGCGTCTGTCCTCATTTGACTTCTGCTGTGGAATCAGCTACCCCTTGGGCCCTGCAGGGCTGAGTCATGTCTTAGGGAAACAGCTAAGAGGCACAGTCCCAGGCCCCACCCCAAAACTAAGGAGACAGCCCCCAGGAGCAGGTAGGATGCATCTGCATTTAAGCCAACATTTTCCCTAAGGGGCTTTAGCACTCAGGTTCAGTGTCTCCAAAGATCTCAGCTCAGACCCTTCCTGCAGGTCTTTGCTTTAGATTGTGTGGGACGGGGTCTGGGAGGATTCTGGGGCCCAGCAGTACCCTGCCCTGGTTCTGTGCTTCCATGGCAAAACGGTTCTGGCTTTGTGGGAAATGAAGATGGGAGTTTATTTGATAAACCAGCTAAATTACTAAGGGTTTTTTTTTTTTTTTCCTTAGCTCCAAAGTTGCCACCAGCCTGTGGGATAATAGCATTTCTGTCAGTTTCCCCTTAGGTGAGCTGCAGGCCCCTGGCATGCTCCAGTGCCTTTCAGAACTCCACTTGGCTTTAGGGGGCCAGGAGGCCAGAGCGAGATGACCAGAAACTCCATGTTTTGATTGATGGTGTGGGGACTGGACTCGGGTGCTTTAGCACTGAGCTACATCCCCAGGCCTTTTTATTCTTTGAGACAGGGTCTGTCCACTTTGCTGAGGCTGGCTTCGAACTTGCAGTCCTGCCTCAGCCCCCAGGCTTGTGCCACTGCATCTGGCCAGAAACTCAAGGTGGGAATTGATATGAATAGATGTGCCAAATGCTTCTCAAATAAAAATAGAGCTGCAGGGGTCTGCAGGCCAACCGGTCAGGGTGTGGGCTGGACTGGAGGAGCTCAGCCACTTATTTGTGGACAGGATACTTGCTACCCATCTGGTCCCACCTTCATGCTTTCTGAGGATCCTACAGACAGTGGCAAATGTTGGAAGCTCAGGCTGTCCCAGGCCAACAGGCCTCTGAGGGCAGGGGCCACAGGAGGGCACTGTGCTCCTGCCTGGCCTAGGTTGGTGCTTGGTAGGGCAAGTGGAGTTGGCATCCTGGGAAGGAGGGAGAGGGAGGGGCAGCTGGCAGGGAGACACTGTGTGCCAGGCACAGAGCCCATCAGGGCCAGGCATGGTCACGGCAGGCATGCCCTGCAGCTGGAGACAGGCAGCCCCTGAGACTGGCAGAGAAAAGGCTCCGGAGAAGTGCCCTCAACGTCCTGCAACCTAGCAACTCTGAATGTTCCAGAATCCTGGAGTGGATTTCAGGTTCCAGTCTATGGCCTGTGCCGCCTTCCCCAGCTGCACCCTGCCAGGCGTTAAGCCACTCAGTGAGACTCTCTAAATAAATACAAATAGGGCTGGGGTGTGGCTCAGTTGTCAACCCCTGGTACCAAAAAATAAAAGGCCAGACCCAGCGACGTCCTCCTGGGGTGGTGGACAGGGAGGAAGTCTTCTCTCCTGCAGCCAGTCTCCTGTGCCACCCCCTTCCTGCATGGGGCTCTGCCTAAGTGCCTGACCTCCAGCTTCTGTGTCACAGCAGGGGGCACCCACATTGGGCTTGTCCTAGTGCAGGGCACAGGCAGCTCCTCCTCGACCCTTTCCCTGACCCTTTCCCTGCGTCACTGAATGCTGAGTGCCTGCTCACCAGCCGGCTGGGTGGCCCTGGGGTTCCTATCAGGGCTGCTTCCCTACCCACCTGGTTCAGGACATCCTGCCTCCCTGGCATTGGCCCTCCTTCACCTGCCACTGCCCAGCAGCCTCCACCTGCACTACAGGGTGTGTCCACACTCTCCACTCCAGTGTCCCAAGCCTTCCCAGTCCCAGCTGGCCTTGGGTCACCAGGCCACTCTGCCAGTCAGGCCACACTGGGGTGCTCTCCTGCTGCCTGCCAGGAAGGCCTGCCCCCCTCAGAAGGGGCTCAGTGGTCTCCTTCCCGAAGCCTCCAGGGCAGCTGCAGACCGACAGGCTTCTGGACCCTCACAGGGACTGCCACAGCCTTTCCTGGCTCTTTATGGCAGCTTGATTCCTGTGTTCCTGCTTTACAAGGTGGAGTCGTCCCCTCCCCCCACTGGGCCTGGGCCTGGTGACACCCTGGTGAACACAGAGGCCGCACAGCGGAGTCCTGAGGGCCAGCTGGGTGCCCCCTGCCTGCTCTAGGGGAAGTCAGGTGCCTGCTGGGAGGCTACTCCAGCCCTGTGCAGGGGGGTTAGGGTGTGGCTTCAGGTCACTGAGTGAGTCACCCTAGTCAAGCCTTCAGTGGCTGCAGCCTCACAGAGACCACACAGAGCCACCCAGCCGAGCTTCCTCAGGGACCTGACCCTCAGACATTGTCAGAGAATGAATGTATGATGTTTTTAAGAAAAGCATTTTATTGAGTATATTTAAGGTATATAACATACACATAGATAGTAAAAGCAAATTAACATTTTCATTTTATAGAGCTTTTTGCTTTTGTAGCAAGAGCATTTAAACTTATTTGGCTCAGTCTGGTGGCCACGCCTGTAATCCCAGCTACTTGGAGGTTGAGGCAGGAGGATGGATTGTAAGTTTAAAGGCAGCCTCAGCAACTTAGTGAGGCACTAAGCAACTCATGAGACTGTCTCTAAATAAATACAAAATAGGGCTGGGGATGTGGCTCAGTGGTTGAGTGCCCCTGAGTTCAACCCCTGGTGCCAAAAAAATAAAATGTTCTTATGTGGCATGAATCCCATGCACAGTATGGTTGTTTTGCCTGTGGTCCTCATGTCCTACGCTAGCTCTCTAAACTGGTTCACTCTACATATCTGCCCCTTTGCATAAACTTTTTTTTGGTGATGTCTTGAGTTCATCTTGTCCAAGTGAGAACTCCAAGGCCCAGGAGAAGGGCCTTCTCAGCCCAGTCTGCAGTGGGCACCGCGTTGAGGATGCCCTGGGGCAGAGCCTGAGGGTCTGGAAGTGTGGCCAGCAGAAGGTGCTGCAATAAGTACCTGAGAAGGGTATCCATGCCTGGAAAACATCAAGAGACAAGACCAGGGCCAGGGAGGGGACCCTAGGAACAAGGCAACAGTGGCTCCAAGATTCATTTCTGTCTCCCAATGAAGTAACCATTGCCAGGAACCTTTGAAGTCATCCAACTGACCCTGCTGCAGAAAGCTGTGGCCATTCATGGTGGCAGATCCCGTGTCAGTACTGCAGCCATATAGCACACCTGCTGGCACAGCTCCGAGGCTGCATGGCCGTTACTCTTTGGTTCTCCAACTGTCTGGCGCTACATGATAAAATTTCCATGTTAGCCAGGTGGAGTGACTCGGGAGGCCAAAGCAGGAGATCACAAGTCTGAGGCCAGCCTCAGCAAATTAGCAAGGCCCTAAGCAACTTCGTGAGACCCCCCCCCCCCCCCCCCCCACACAAAAACCCAAAGCGGAGACACACCTGTCATCCCAGCAGCCCCAGCTCAGGAGACTGGGGTAGGAGGATTGCGAGTTCAAAGCCAGCCTCAGAAACTTAGTGAGGCCCCAAGCAACTCAATGAGACCCTGTCTCTAAATAAAATACAAAATAGGCTGGGGGTGTGGCTCAAGTGGTAGCGTGCTCGCCTGGCATGCACAGGGCGCTGGGTTCAATCCTCAGTACCACATGAAAATAAATAAAGATGTTGTGTCCACCGAAAACTAAAAAAATAAATATTAATAAATAAAATAAAATACAAAATAGGGCTGGGGATGTGGCTCAGTGGTTGAGTGCCCGAGTTCAATCCCTAGAACCAAAAAAATCCCTGGTACAAATAAAAATGCTGAGAATGCTTAGTGGTAAAGTGCCTGAGTATTCAATTCCCAGTACCAAAATTTTTTATCCCATTTTTCAGATGAGGAAACTGTCCTAGGATGGTAAAGAGATTCTTCCAGATCATGCAGCTAGGAGCAGCAGGTGAGGGCTAAGCCCACGCTGCCTGGCGCAGAGCCCCGACCACCCCTATCTGCTTGGCCACCCATATCTCCAGTGCTGTGGATGGTCACAAGAAGGGGGTCCCCCAGTACTCAGCTGGCAGGGCCACTGAGACACGGTGATAGGGAAGGAAGCAAACTGCAAAGCAGTATTTGAAAAAAGAACATGGGCATTTCCCTAGTGCCACTGGAAGGCAGGACACCAGGCCCGGGCTGGGGACTTTCCTTCTTACTTGTAGTTTTTCCTTTTGCTATGAAAAGTAAAAGTGCATTTTTTTTAAAGAGAGAGAGAGAGAGAGAGAATTTTAATATTTATTTTTTAGTTTTCGGCAGACACAACATCTTTCTTTGTATGTGGTGCTGAGGATCGAACCCGGGCCGCACGCATGCCAGGCAAGCGCACTACTGCTTGAGCCACATCCCCAGCCCCTAAAAGTGCATTTTTTAATTGTCCAGTTTTCCCATGGCCTCAGCCAGAAACTGCCCTGCTTGGTAGGGCTGTGCCCTCCCTTCAGGGCTGTCATCGCAGCTCCAGGCATGGTTGGGGTGTTGTCACCCCCTAGGAGTCAGCCTGGGCCAGCTATACACAATGGGCTCTGGGACTGATAGAGGAGGCCTCCAGCAGGCCTGGCTCCCCAGAGGGGAGGCTCCTTCAGGCACCCCCTGGGCTCTGCCTCCACCATGTACAATCTGAGGTCCCTTGTCTGTTGGGAAATCAACCCTTGGAGAGGTTGTGCATCTGATCCAAGGTCACACAGCTGGGAGAGGCAAATCCCCAGTCAAATCTAGGCTGAGGGGACCCCCCAACACACAGCTCCTCTGGGGAAGGCCTCTGGCTGCCTCCTCTGACTGCAGTACTGGAGATTGAACCCCAGGGCCTTGTGCATGCCACGCATGTGCTCCACCACTGAGCTGCTTCCCCAGCCCTTGTTATTTCTTTTAAGACAGAGTCTAGCTAAGTTTCTAAGGCTGGTCTCGAATTTGAGATCCTCCTGCCTCAGCATCCTTAGAAGCTGGGATTACAGTCACGGGCCACTACGCACCTGTCCAGCCCTTTTGCTACTTTTTATCATGGGCTACAACAGTCCATTGCCCACCACCTAGAGCTGGCCTTCATTAAGACTTTGTCCCATTGCTTCTCTTCCCTCTCTCCTCCCCTCCTTTTAACTCCTCTGTTTGTTTACCCGTCCATCAGTCCATCTTCTCCTCCTCTGTTCTTTCACCTGTCTGACCGTCCCTCCACCCGTCCGTCTAGCCACCGACCCACTTTCCCCCACATGTACCCCCTCAGCCTCCCAGGTTGCCCTGTGCTGGGTGCTGTGGAGCCAGACCCAGCACTGCCCAGCCTGCCACAGCGCATAGCTGGCAGGAAGTGATGAGCGGCGCACAGCGGTTCAACGAGGAGGTGCCATGGTTTTGGAGCAGGGGTAAAGTTTGTGCATTTGTTCAAGAGGCAATGGGCAGGTGGAACTTGGCTGCAGAGACCAGGAGCCTTGCTCGTCTCCAGTGTCACCCGCTGGGGCTGCCCTAACCTTGCCTGACCCTCCCTGGAACCTGGCAGGCTCTGGATTCTACTTGTTTATCTGCTGCTCTATCTCCCTTCCCACACAGCAGACCTGCCAGGGCAGGGCCTGTGTGAGGTACTGCTGTGTCCCAGGGCCCTGAGGGGGTCACAGACACGTGGCACATGGCAGCTAATGCTGGTTTCAGGAGCAGAGGGCGTAGGCAAGTGGGCCAGGGTCCAGAGACACCACTGCAGCCAGGGCAGTGCAGACTGAGGGTGGTAAGTGGATCTGAATGTGAAGTAACTCTAACTGTGGGGCAGAGGAGAAAGGCATCCAGGGCCACTCCAGTGCCAGGGGTGGGTGGCCCTTACTGCACTGGAAATGTGGGACTAGGTAGTCCTTGACCCTTTAAGTATATGACCTGCTTCGAACTCCCTCGTCCACGGCAGTGGCTTCTTGAGTGTAGTATGCACAGTGGAACCTGAGACCCAGCTCTATCTGCCTACCTAGAGCACATCCTTCACCTCCTTCCTTCTAGGCCCTAAGCTGCGTTTAATGCAGCCCTCAGCACTTGGCTGACTGTCCATGGGGACATGTCTGGAATTTGCCCTGAGTGGTCACGGACATGAGGCAGGTGCTGTCTGCATTTTGTGGCTGCAGAAGTGGAGGCAGACAGAGGCTGAGGGACTTATCCCAAGTCTCAAAGCCAAGCCCCAGAGCTGGTATTTGAATGTGGGCAGCTTCATCTCCCTGTGGACAGGATGGATAACAGGACTGGTCTTGGATGGGCCACTGCTGCCCTCTGCCCTCTGCCGGGGCAGCTAGTACTGCCCACTTGCTCACAAACAGCCGACCAGGGGGTCAGCCATCATCAGCACTCAGCCTGTTCAAGGCCAGCCTGCAGGTCAGCCTGTGAGAGGACAGGAGAGCAGGGGACACGTGGATTCCTGCCCCTGCTGCCCCGCCCTCAGGTCAACCAACCAGAGCTGCTGGGCCCCAGAAGTCAACACCTGTGCCCCGCCCCACCACCAGTTTTCTGGCCTGAGGCCCCTCGGTTGGTTTCCATGTGACCCTGGCCAGTGCACGGCTCCCCTGAGCCTAGTGTCCCCCCTTTCTGGTCACATGGGGCCTGTGCTGAGCCCCTCCAGGGGCCCAGGTGGTGGCCATGAGGCAAGCTTCCCTGTGCTGGCCCTGGTCAGCAGGGCATGTGGTTGTGAGAGCACTGGGAGTCAAGTCCAGCACTGTCTTGCATGGCTTGGGCAAACCCCTTCTGGGCCTCAGTGGCTCCCTCTGTAAAATGGGTGTTGTGGCGCTGCCCTGCCTCCCCCCGGGGCTGGGAGGTAAGCCACACAGGTGCAGGTGTGAGGGTCAGCGCTTTCACAGCTGCTGCGATGAGTGGGAAACCGGGCCAGGTGAGGCAGGCCTGGCCCTGGGTCTGGGGAGAGACTGGAGGGAGCAGAAGGCTGAAACCTGTGGGGGTGGGTGGTGCTGTACCCAGGGGGCTCTCTTGGGGTGGCCACCCTATGCCTTTCCTCCCTGCCAATAGGGCTCCTTGAGGACAGGGCCAAGGTCTTTGCCTGTGGCAGCCTCAACTCTCCTGAGTTGCATGTCCCTCTGGGACAGGATGGACAACAGGACTGGTCTTATGCCCTCTGCCCTCTGCCTTCTGCCATGGCAGCTAGCACTGACCACTTGCCCACAAACAGACGGCTGGCCGAGGGGTCAGCCAGAGGGTGGTGTCAGAAACTGTTTGTTGAATGAATAGGTGAGGGAGTTTGTGGGTTCCATGGCAGGAGTCTGAAGCAAACCCAGGGGAGTTAGGGAGGCCCAGAGGACACAGCAATGACCCGAGTTTGGGCTTGGAGTGGCCAGAGCCACCATGTCCCCATCTCCAGGCCTCTAGGAAGACTCTGGATGTAACCCAGGGGGCGGTGGGGACAGTGGTCCTGTCTCTGGAGGTGTGACTCCTCCGGTGACCTCTCACACACTTTCTGACACCTAGGTCCCAAGGGCACTGGGACTAGGGTCCTTGGGGGTGGGGCAGGAGGGAGTCCATCCGCCGGGTGCGTGGGTGTGGGCATCGACCGCTGCTTCCTAGCAAGCTTCTGCTTCCTGTCCTCTGCCCCCACCACAGGTATTTAATGCCTGCCAGAAGCATGCTGGGAGCTGCTGAGGCCACCGCGGTGGTGGCACAGATCAGGCAGTTGGGCCAGGGCCTTCCCCACCTCCCAGGTTGTCCATGGATTTTGTTGCTGGAGCCATTGGAGGTACCATACAGGGACGCTGGGCATTCTGGGGGCTGCTGTTTCTGGGTGCTGGGGAAGCTGGGCCCAGACGGGCGGGCTGTGGGGAGGACTTGTCGGGGTGTCTGCACTGATTGGGAGAGGGGACTCAGGATGCTGAGGGCAGGCTGGGGACCGTGGGAGGGACAGAGGGTGGCGACAGAGGGAGCTGGGAGTCCTTGTATGAGGCATGATGAGCCTGGGAAGAGGCATGAGGCTGTGGATGGAGGTCTGGGCCAGAGCCTGAGGGCGCCGCAGGGTGGCTGCGAGGGCGGCCGCGAGGGCCTCCCTGGCCTGCTCTGCTCTGCTCTGCTCTGCTCTCCGCGGGGTCCTGCTCCTTTCCCTCCTGGGGAGGGGGTGCTTGCGAAAGACTCCCCAGGCCCTGGGCCTGCAGGGCTGTTTGCAGTGAGGTGGCCTTGGTCTTGCTTGTCTTGTGAAATAGCTTGGCAACCCTCTGCTTCTGGGGACAGTGTGTGGAGGGGTCAGGGTCCTGGTCCCTTCAGGAGTTTTTCTGAGGTCCTACTGTGCCAGCCCAAGGCTGGTCATCTCCTTGAGTATCAGTACTGGGAGGAGGTTTAGAGCAGGGCCTCACAGGGGCCACACGGCCAGGGAGGGCTCCTGGGCTGACATCCTCCCTCCAGAGCCTGCCAGGAAGCCTGCAGGAAGGGCCTGTTCCCTGCTGAGCCCCAGGTCACAGGGATATGGACTGGCCTTGTCCTGGGAGGACTTTAGTTCTGGGGAGGAACTGGCCCATGGGGCACAAGCAGCAAGTGATTAGGGCTCAGATCAACATGTCCTAGGCTCAGAGGCAGCCCCGGGGATGGCGGTCAGGGAAGCTCCGGAAGGGAGATGGCGCCGTGGCAGGGCTTTGATGGATGAGCAAGAGCTTGGTGAAGTGTCTGTGCAGGTCCAGGAGGGTAATGAGCTGCTGAGTCGGCCGGCCCTTCCCTTGACCTCACTCCCTGATCCCGCCAACTCCTGAGTGCGGGACACACAGGAGGTACAGCACAGCCACTGTGTGCCTTTTCACCACCACTCTCAGAGTGAGCTCCCCAGGGTCTGGCTTCCCTGTGGCAGTGCTAGGGCTCTAGGTCTAGGCCCGGTCTCAGGAGGGGATGACAGCACCGGGCCTGTGGCTGGTCCAAAGCCTGGGCCTCGCGCCTGAGGCTTCCCTGCGTGGTATGGGTTTGTGTCGGTTGCCCTTCCTCACTGTGACAAAGCACTTCAGTTAAGGAGCACATGAGGAGAAAAGGCTTATGTTGGAGGTTCCGTCCACGATCGGATGGATCCAGGGTTTTCTGGTGGAGGTGGAGGTGGCGATGAAGGGTTTTACGTGTGCAGCAGACTGCTCACCCTGTGGCCAGGAAGCAAAAGTGACCAGGGAGAGACTGGGGCAAGCACCAGGCCCCACCTCCCAGGGCCACAGGTGCTCGCTGCAGGGCCCAACCGGGGCCAGGCCTAACCAGAGCAGGCCCCTCTGCCCAGACCCTTCATAGTCCAGGCAGCCCCAGCCCTCTTGCAAGCCTCATGTGAGCCTGGGCACCTCTCAGCCTTGGCTCAGGCCAGGGGCCCTCCTCGGCCCCCAGGAAAGCCCTCCTTAGACTGATGGCCAAGGGCAAGTTTGCCTGGCTCATAGCTGAAGTCCCCCCAGGGCAGGGCAACAGGAGGAGTCACCACCAGACAGAGACTCAGGGACGTCACAGGCAAGCCTGGAGGAAGGTGCTCTGAGCCTCAGCTTCCTCATCTGTAAGACAAGGGGTGCTCTCGGATCAGTGAGGCCTCGAGTCAGGAAGGCAGCTGTGGGGTCTGTTCCCAGCTGGCTCAGCCCCATTCCTGTGAGATAGGCCCATGTGGCTTCCTGGTTGTCCCCCAGCCTCACTGTCCTCTGACTTCCTTGCAGGTGTCTGTGGTGTTGCTGTGGGCTACCCCCTGGACACAGTGAAGGTTCGGCAATGGCAGGGCCCCGCCTCGCCCCGAGGCCCTATTTGGACCACCCTCAATGTCTCCTACACCACATCCATGGCCAGAACACCTTTCTAGAATGGTCTATGTCAGCTTTCTCACCTCTGTGTCTCAGGGCTTACCATACTTCTCTGCCCACACCCCAGCATGCCTGTGACAATCAAGGGGGTGACTCTGCCCCTTCCCCAGGTCCTGCTGACCTTGCCCTAGACCTGGAACCACCCCTTCCTGAAGCCCACATCTCCCCCAGGTCAGGATCCAGACAGAGCCAAAGTACACAGGCATCTGGCACTGCATCCGGGACATATATCGCCAAGAGCGGGTAGGTCTGGGTCCAGGGATGGGCGGGGGCTATATAGGTCTCAGGCCTCAGGCCTGGGAATGCTCATTCCCACTGTGCACCTATGCTACCCTCTCACTTCAAATGGGAACAAATGTGCTGATCTCATGATTTCTTTGAGGGCTAGAGCCCGGGTATCTGGCACACAGAGGGGCTCAGAACAGGGTTCTTACCTCCAGGAAAGGGTCGAGGTGGCACTGGGGTTCCGAAGGTCAGGGGAGGCATCTGAGTGTTGCACGTCTTTCTCTTCCAAGGCAAGTGCCCCTTGAGGAAGTGATGGACAGTGTGGGCTGGTTACTTCAGGGCTCAGGACCTTGTCCAGAGGAAGGCCTGGGGGCACTTACCAAAACGAACTTGGGGCTTGGTGCAACCAGGGTTAACTCATGAAGAAACAGCAGTGACAGAATGGCTTCTTATGTCCTCACCATCAACTGGCGACCCTGGGTCCAGCCCTGGCCTCTCTTTAATCCCTCACCACAGCCTCTCAAATTGAGCACTCGTGACCCTCATTTTAAGGTGGAGGAAACTGAGGCCTGAGGCGGGGGGAGTGACTAAGGGCTGGAGGGCAGGGACCAGCCTCAGCACGCCTCTGGGCAGCCCCTCCCCTGGACTGACTCGGGCCCTGTCCACCAGGTGCGGGGCTTCTACCGGGGCCTCTCGCTGCCTGTGTGCACGGTGTCCCTGGTCTCCTCTGTGTCTTTTGGCACCTACCACCACTGCCTGGCGCACATCTGCAAGTTCCGCTACGGCAGCGCGGAAGCCAAGCCTACCAAGGCGGACGTCACGCTCTCGGGATGCGCCTCGGGCCTCGTCCGTGTGAGTGGGGTGCAGGGAGGCCCTTGGGGAGGCTGAGGATCCGAGTGGTCCATTTCTCTAGGTGGGCAGAGCCAGGCTGGGTGAGGGCAGACCCCATGAAGTGAGGACCCGGTGGAGAGCCAGTGTGCTGCCTCAGGAAGCACCAGCAGGGGTGTGGGAGGGCTGCGGGTGCCTCCCACCGGCCTCCTTCCTGCCCCAGGTGTTCCTGACATCGCCCACTGAGGTGGCCAAGGTCCGCCTGCAGACGCAGACGCAGGAGCAGCAGCGGCGGCCCTCAGCCTCGGGGCCCTCAGCCTCTTCTCCTGTGTGCCCAGTGCCTGGACCCAAATACCGTGGGCCACTGCACTGTCTGACCACGGTGGCCCGTGAGGAGGGGCTTCAGGGCCTCTACAAGGGCAGCTCGGCGCTGCTTCTCCGGGAAGGCCACTCCTTCGCCACCTACTTCCTCTCCTATGCCGTCCTCTGTGAGTGGCTCACCCCTGCGGGCCACAGCCAGCCAGGTGAGCAGTAGAGGGGCCTGTGTGCAGGGGGTTCAGCCCCGCAGAAATGGAGGCCATGAGAGGAGGCCATGGGAGGAGGCTGTGGCCTGTGCAGACTGAGCACTGGTACCAGAATGGGAACTTGAACCCAGGCGCTGGGCTTCCCAGCATGGGAGGACAGACCTGCTCTGTCACCAAGTCACTGTGTGACCTTGGGCAAGTCAAATTCCCTGTCTGAAGCATCAGTTTCTCCCTTGCGAAATGAGGACAGGGCTATAGGAGTCGGCGGGCTCCACTGGGGTGGGGCCCCAATCAGGCCGCATGTCATTTCTCCTGCAGATGTTCTGGGTGTGCTGGTGGCTGGAGGCTGTGCAGGAGTCCTGGCCTGGGCTGTGGCCACCCCCATGGACGTGATCAAGTCACGCCTGCAGGCAGATGGGCAGGGCCACCGGCGATACCGGGGTCTCCTGCACTGTGTGGTGACCAGTGTGCGGGAGGAGGGGCTGAGGGTGCTCTTCAGGGGCCTGGCCGTCAACTGCTGCCGGGCCTTCCCGGTCAACATGGCGGTCTTTGTCACCTATGAGGCCGTGCTGAGGCTCACCAGAGGCCTGCTCACATAGCCGCCCAGCAGCTGCCAGACGCTGTGATAGCTGGAGGAGGCAAAGGGAGTGGTAGGGGGTGGGACCCCATGAGGCCGTCACCCAGGACAGCTGGGGGCCAATCTGCAGTAATTGGGCCAAGGCCTGAGCTTGGCTGCCTGCTGCCCAGCACAAGATCGGGTCGAGGGGCTGGTGAGCCCGAGAAGAGCAGCCCCTTGGGCGAGGGCCTGGGTCACATGGGTCATCTGCCTTTTGGTCAGTGGTTCTCCTTCTCCTGTTGCCTCTGCCACCACTCAGCTCCTCAGAACAGCCCCGCATGGCCACCCTCTGCCCTCTCCCACCAGCTCCCCTGGTCCCCACGGCTGTCCCCTCTGAGGCAGCTTCACTGGCACCCCTGCCACAGGCAGTGAGGCCCGGCTGTCTGATCTCAAGCCTGGCTCCTTCCCTGCCCCAGGCTGCCCAGGCGGGCATGGCCAGGACAATGCACCCACCTGGGGTTTGACTGGCCGGGGCATAAGGCTGTCATCCTTGCCCAGCTGGGGAGCTGGGCGTGGGGTGTAGTCATCACCTCTGCCATGGACACTGTGCACCACGGGAGGACCCAAAGACTCACCCGGAGCTGCTGTCAATAAAGCATTCCTGAGCTGCCTGTCGTGTTGCTCTGTGGTCTGTGGCCTGCTCCCTGCTTCTGCTCAGCCTTCACCCTGGTGCTCTGGGAGGGCTGCCTGCCCATTGTGTCCCACTGTGCAGATGGCACACGGAGCCCTAGTCCCACGGTCAGGCCAGATCCACTCCCATGACTTTTTGGGCGGTGGGGACCCTGCCCACCCCACCCCAAACTCAACTGCTGAGTGGAAGGGGGACAGTTCCTCACGACTGCCTGGCTGTGAGCCACCTCGGAGGGGGCTGTAGGAGGGGCAGGGCTCTGGTAATCCCAGCGGCCTCCCCTGGTCAGCAGATAGCTCAGGGGTGTGTGTGGGGGATCTAGGCACTCAGTGGGGAAGCAGGGGCAGGTAGGCCACCTTCTGAGGCCCAGCCACCCTCTCCCTGCACCATGTGGCTTCCAAGGAGCCCTGGGACCAGGAGGGCTGGCAGGTCAAATGTGAAGCTGTTTCTGGAGTCTCAGCCAGAGGCTTGATTCAGGGGGGCTCACTCACCCCAGAAACACCCAGAACAAGCAGTGGTGGGAGGCACGAGGTGAGCTTTGTCAGAGCAGCTCCTCGGGGATGACCAGGCACCCAGGCCTGCAGCCCTGTCTTCTAGGCGCTGACGATGACTCTGAGGTTTTATAGAAAGGGGACTTAGGGCAAGGGTGGGGTCTGCACAGCTGGTCCTGATGGGCTGTGGTCTGCCCATGGTTATCTCAGGATTGGTCAGTGGCACCTTGGCCATTACCCCGGACAAAAGTTGGTGTTTCCTGGGTGTGGGGGAGGGGCCTCCGCCCATCCCAGGACTGATGAGACCTTCTTCCTGGAATAGAAGGTGACTGACTCAGAGCAAAGGAGACAGATGCAAAATGGAAGCTTAACGATACTTTTAGCAGGCCCACGTGAAGAGCCCAAGTCCTGTTGCAGGCCCTTGGGCCAGTGCCACAGCTGCCCTCTGGAGATTGGCTGACACCGGCTTTGATTGGGTCTTTGGACTGAAAGTCCACAGGGTTATGGCTAAAGGAGACTTTCTTACTCCCAGAACAAGGGTGGACCCCTTTTTGGCCTGCTCCTGTCAGGAGGGCAGTTGTTTCGGTTGGCCAGGGGGCGCTGCCCTTACACACCGTGTCCTTGACAGGAAGGCCCTCCTGCTCCTCGGCCTCATTCCACACCTCGGGCCCTGCCTCCTCCAGGAAGCTCCCCTGCCTCACCACCAGCAGGCTTTGGTGTTTTGGGTGTCTCTTGCTCTGCTCCCTTGGGGGTTTGGTGGTCTTGTTTTTCTTCCCTTCTACCTGCCAACCTGTGAGCTGCCTGAAAACTGTTTAGATTCAGGGCCTGGTGCACAGGTGCTCAGGGGTGTGAAACGGATGAAGCCCTGCCAGACTCCTGCAGCATGAAGACAGATCAGGACGACAGCCACACTAAGAACTTACAAGAGGGTAGGAGACCACGAGCGAGACAGGACTTGAGGGTCTCAGCTATGGCACCTCCATCCGCTGAAGGCCTGCTGGCACTTACACTGTGCCCAGAGACTCGGATGCTTCAAGAGGTCTCTGTGTAGAGGACATTTTTACTAAGGATAGACATCCTTCCTTCATCTTCCATCAGCAGCCTTTGGGAACTGGTGTTTTCCCCCAGCTTCATTAGGGTTTCCTCTTTACTGTTTTCTAGTGCCCAAATTCAGGGCCCAGGGCCTTGTTTGGTGGTCATGCTAGACAAGTGGCCGGGGGCAGGGAGGAGGATCCAGCTGGCCCAGCCCAGGCCCCATGGCTGTCTCTGGGAAGTGGCTTTGCAGGAAGGAGCCGGAACTCACTTTCTCACAACTCCAGTGAAGAGGACCAGCTCCCTCCTTTTTTTTTTGGTACCAGGGATTGAACCCAGGGTGCTCAAACATAGAGCTGCATCCCCAGCCCTTTTTGTACTTTGAGACTGGGTCTTGCTAAGTTGCTTAGGGCCTTGCTAAATTGCTGAGGCTGGCTGTGAACTCATGATCCTCCCAATCCAACCTCCCGAGCTGTTGGGATTGCAGATGTGCACTGCTGCGCCTGGCTGGCTCCCTCTTTTGTGAGAAAATGAAGGATCTGGGAGCAAGGGCTGGTGCCATGCAATAGGGCAAGAGCTGGTTTTCCAAAGTGGGGCTGCCTAACAAAGTCCAAGCTGAACTTGAAACTTCACATGGGGTGGGGGTGAAGGCTGCCCCCCCAGGGCTCCCACAGTGCAAGCCCACTGTAACACCTACCACTGTGGGCCTAGAGGAAGGATACCCCCCCCACCCCCGCCCTGGGCTCCCACAGTGTAGTCCAAGGACAGCTTCATCTGAGGTTGTGGGCAAGGGCCAGAGGCCAGAGGCAGGCCTACTTCCAGCTCTGAAGAGCTTGCCTGGATGGAGAACTGTTCCACAGTAGCCCCCATTGGTTCTTGTAAGCAAGTCCAGCACCCACGTCTGGGTGACAAGTGGCCATCATCTGTCTGAGCAAAGGCTTGGCAATGACCTCAGGCTGGAGCCCAGCACTCAGCCTGGGTATCCGCTACCAGACATGCCCGCTTTTCTTGGAGAGCTTCAGCATGTGGGTGTGGCAGACCTGCAGCTCTCTTCTGCTGTGACTGGGTGTGTCCTCTTGCAAGTCACCTGGTCAACAGACACAAGGCCCTGCTCCGAGGGCTTCATCACCAGGTGAAGTGACCCACCCAGTCACAGAGCAACCAGGGGCCACTCTCCCTGGGCCCTGTCCATAGATGCTATCTCCAGGTAGACAAGGACAGCTGCGGCTCCACTGCCCTGTGGACTCCACACATTGTCCCTCACCGGCACACTTACTCCTGCCACAGATGTAGCACAGCTACGAGGAATGGCATTAGCTGTTCCAGCCATGTGGTCAGTGCACCCTGCATTCTGTGTAGGTGGCTCACATTCATGGCCACAGCCAACCAGGACAGTGGTCAGGTCAGGGAGGGAGCTCCACCCAGGGAGAATGGAGGCCAGAAGGGGGAGGCTGTGGAGAGCTTGTGCTGTCCTAAGGCCCCCAGCCTCCCAGGGTGGGAACCTATTTCCTCAGCACTGAGTCAGGACATTTTCTGTCACCAAGTCACCGTGTGGCCCTGGATGTTGTGCATCCCCTTGTCTGAAGCCTCAGTTTCTCCACTTGCAAAATAAGTTTAGGCCAGTGGAGTGAGCCCAGGGCTCCAGGGAGCCATGTCTCCGCTGTCACCGTGTGGCCCTCTGTGCATGCCAGGAGGACATCTGCTGGGATTCTCCGCGGTCACTGGGAATATCAAATGCAGTAGGCCAGCAGCAACAGGAGGCTGTTCAGGGCAGACAGAAGGGCCACTTCCAACAGGAGCAATAGCCATGTGACATGGCTCCCAGGAGCCTGCCTCTCAGCACCTGCCTTTTCTTCCCAGAGGTGACCCACAGAACCAAGGCCAGCCCTGCAGGCCAGTGGATAGCTCCAGTCTCAGCAGCAGGGCCCCACCCTGGGCCTGCAGCAGGCTGCTGTACCCTCATCAGTCTTCCTGGACAGAACAGAACACAGGGACACAAACAGGAGCAAAGGAGGTTTATTTTACCCATAGGTGGCACAAAGGCAGAGCACTCAAGAGTGGACCCTGCTCCTTTAGAGAGGACAGATCCTTCAACCAGGGGCTTCCCTGAGACATGGGTTCTGCTTGGTCAGACTGCACATGGTAGGAGACTGAACGTGACCCACCTAAAGGTCAAACACCTAGGGCCTGGAGGGCCATGGTGGCGATTTTCTTTCTAGCTACATCCACAGGCCGAGACCTGGCCAGGGCACTGCTCTGTGCTGACTTCCACTTCAGTCAAGTGTCAAAACAAAAGGATCTGCAAAGGCAACAGACTGTCCTTAGCATCTCACAGTCAGGATGAAGCGCCACTGGATTCTGCAGGATGGAGTGCGGGTTATTTGGTGGAAAATTACTATGTTGAGGGCAATGAGCGTGATTCCTGGAGTGGACGACGTGCGTGGTCTGGAGTTTAGTAAGCCAGCTGGGGTTGCACCCACCACCTCGGCATGCTGTCCACAGCCAATGCCAAGCTTTGGAGCAAGTGATTTCTTTCTTTTCTGTGGTACTGGGGATGGAACCCAGGGCCTCGTGTGTGCTAAGCAAAGTGGTCCGCCACTGAGCTCCACCTCCAGCCCTTTTTATTTTTATAATAATGACATTTTGGTTCCATATATGCATACAGAAAGCACAGCTTTTTAAAATCAAGAGATCTGGGGAGTATATGTGGATCCTAGGCTGCGCTCAGATGGACTTCCTCCGTGGGCCTGGACTGGCTGGTCAGGCCTTCCAGCCAGAAGTTCCACAGACTGAGGTTCATGTGGGAGAGACTTACAGCTGGGTGTCTATCTGACCACGCAGAGTTAGCAGCACCCAATCACTCGCATTTTGCCCACAAGAAACAGAAAGGACAAGCTCCACAGGGAGAGACAGCACCTAAAACACACAGGGCTTAGGACACCAGGCCCAGGAATTACCACGTGACAGAAGCCTACAGGTGGTGGTGATTGGATCAGAGTGGGATTACTGATTACACATCTCTATATGCACACAGAAAACGAGTGTTACTGAAAGTGGAAGGTCAGCTGCCGAGGAGTCATGAACTCTTTCACCATCTCGTTGGTGACCTCCTTGCGCCGGGCCTGGTGCTCCGCTATCAGGGGCTGCAGGACGTCTATGAGAGTCTTCTTAAGCTCCCCGGTGAGCATGGCCCCGCTGGAGTAATCCTGGTGGCAGGCAGAGCCCAGCACAGGAAGAGGGAGGGAGGGAGGGAGGGAGGGAGAAAAAAAAAAAAAAAGAAAAGGAAAGAAGGGAGGGAGGTCGGTCACTTGCAGCCCTCCACCCAGAATGCCCACTGTTAGCACCAGACCCCGTGTTTCCATAGCTTTTCTTTCACTAAAACTTTTTAATTAGTCCACACCTGCACAACAATACATCTGAACAATTCTTATTTAACATTTCCTGTGTCAGACAGACTGTA